AAGGGCTTACGTGGAGAAATATGCGGAGGCGTTTCAGAGTAGAGATATTTTTACGCTGTGGGGGATTCTACAGCTGTTACGGTGGTACCCAGGTAAAATCCCCGATTTGGACCTCATGTTCAATTGCGGTGACCAGCCCATTGTTTTTGCTAGTGATTACGCTGGGCCTGGGCCTGGGCCCAATGCGACGACCCCGCCTCCTTTGTTCCGCTACTGCGCAGATGATGACACGTTGGACATTGTTTTCCCTGATTGGTCCTTCTGGGGATGGTAATTTTTAAAATGATTTAAATAAATCTACGTTAAATGATGGATGGGGATTTGAATTTACCACTCAAGAATGGAGAAGTAAATACGTGTCTAATAATTAGTTACTTTCGTTTTTGTATAAAATTTAATGAAATTTGATTTGATTAATTTCAGGCCTGAGATCAATATAAAGCCATGGGTATCACTTTTAAAAGATCTAAAAGAAGGCAACCAAAGGAAGAAATGGATCGACAGAGAACCTTATGCTTATTGGAAGGGAAATAGTTTTGTTTCTATGCCCAGATACAAACTTCTCAAATGCAATGTCTCTTATGGATATGATTGGAATGCTCGTGTATATATGCAGGTATGACTAAAAGTTCTCACTCATCTTTTCCTTTTTGAAAAATATAAAATGATTTCTCTAGCGACTCCAAATGCATATGTAGGATTGGATCAAGGAACAGGAACAAGGATTCAAAGAATCAAATCTAGCGAATCAATGTATTCATAGGTAAGTTGTTGTCGACGCTTCTTTTCCATTCTTGGGTATGGATTTTTTATTGTAATAATGTAATGATATGAAAATTAAATATTGTAGGTACAAAGTATACATTGAGGGAATTAGTTGGTCGGTGAGTCTTAAGTATATCCTTGCTTGTGATTCAGTTACGTTAATGGTAAACCCCCATTTCTATGATTTCTTCATGAGAAGTTTGATGCCTTTGCATCACTATTGGCCAATCAAAGAAGATGATATGTGCAAGGATATCAAGTTTGTTGTCGATTGGGGCAATATCCACCAACAAAAGGTACCTATTAAAATTAGTTTAGTCCCATATCATTTTAAGAATTTTAATTTAATCTCTATAGTTTAGAGCATCTCATGAATGAGAGTTTTTTCTTAGGCACAAGCAATTGGGAAGGCAGGAAGCAAATTCATTGAAGAGAAACTAAGGATGGAGAATGTGTATGACTACATGTTTCATAGTCTAAATGAATACTCCAAACTTTTAACCTTTAAGCCAACCATCCCACCAAATGCTACCGAGCTTTGCTTGGAGGAATTGGTTTGTGCTACTGAAGGCTTAGCCACCAAATTTATGATAGATTCGCTCGTGAAACGTCCTTCGTATTCGAACCCTTGCTCCTTGCTTCCGCCCTTTAGCTCGACCGCTCTCGACTACATTCGAACCAGAAAGGAAATCTCAATCAAACAAGTCGAAAGGTGGGAAAAAGCTGTGCAGTATGGGTGAGATATAAGATTAGCGTGAGATTTGACATTTAGTGTATTTTTCCAATATTTTCACGGACAATTGTTCTTATCGAGAGATTGATGCTAACTTTATTTTAGAATTATAGCTTAGACATTTTCTTCTCCTAACTAAAAGTAAAAGTTAATTTTTTATAGATACGTTAACATTTTATTGTTGTTACAAAATAATATTACACAAAAGTTAAAATACAGTTAATACTATATTAAATAATTAATCAACTATGTACAGTGAGTTGATGGGTTAGACAGAATTTATTGTATTTTAACCCTAATATAAATGCATATTATAAGGTAGCATAACTTGAATAATATTTTGTTAAACTACCATTTAATTAACACACATAGTCAATCAATATAGGAAAATAATATTATACGAGTTTGAAGACTTGCTCTCATACCATATTAAATTATTGTCGAATTTAAAATTTTGATAATAATTTTGTTTTTAAGTTTTTTTTTCCTAATATTTTTCACCGTACACATTATATTTAATAGATATATTATCTTTAACATTTCTGACCTATTATTTAGTCCATCTAAAATTGATTAAACTAATTAACACAACAATAACATGTTTTAAGGTCTGAAGTTCGAGTTGACGCTCTCATATTTGTAATGCTGTCTTCTAAAAGCATGTATTATATATATAACTTAATTCATCATATTAATAAAAATTGTAATTTCTCTAGATAAATATTTTGTTTTTCTGTAACTACACAAAGAAAAATATATGGCTATTAAAAAATGAGGATTTTTTTTTTTTAATAATAACTTGTTAAATTTTCAATACGGTGATAATAAGATTTGGTCCGTATTCTCCTGGTAAAAGGCGGTTAAATGGCGCCTCCTCCCGCCATTGTACAACCGATATAATCATGAATGGCCTACACCTTGGAGCTCAAAATTTCCGAACTATTACCAAGGTGCAAGTTCGCGCACCTCAAACCAATCCACGCTCTCCTCATTACCACCTCTCTTCACCAAAATATCCATGTTTTCTCGAGCTTTCTTCGACGAACCACCGAATTCGGGACCATGGATTACGCCAGTCTCGTGTTTTCTCATCTAACTCCCGGTTTCAGAACCGAAATCCAATTCTGGAACGCTATGATCAGGGGTTACGCTTTCAATGGCCCTGCTGAGAAATGCGTGTCCTTGTATACCGAATTGCTTCAAAGAGGGCTGAAACCCCATAATTTTACCTACCCTTTTGTGCTAAACTCGTGCACTGATTTGGGTCGGTTCCGGGATGGGGAAAACGTGCATTGTCGAATTCTTAAGACGGGATTTTCGTCGAGTTTTTCAGTTTCTAATGCGCTCTTGAATCTGTATTTGAAACTTCCAGAGTTCCCTGGACCGGGGATTGTTACTGGTGGGAAGGTTTCTGATGCTCGCAAGGTGTTTGACGAAATGTGTGTTAGAACTGTTGAAGTATGTAACCGAATGATGGCAGGGTATACGAGCGCTGGGGATGTCAATAATGCACGGCAGTTGTTTGATAATATGGAAGATCGAGATATCATTACGTGGAATACAATGATTTCTGGTTATGTCAAGGTACGAGAGGTAGTAAAAGCAAGGGAGTTATTTGAACGAATTCCAGAGAATAATGTCGTGTCTTGGACATTGATGATTGGGGTGTATGCTAAAGCTGGAGATCTTATTACAGCACGAATGTTCTTCAATAAAATGCCTCAAAGAAATGTGGTGTCATGGAATTCCATGGTTTCAAGCTACGTTCAACAAGGGAATTTTCAGGAAGCAGTGGATCTCTTTATCGAAATGCGATCAGAGGGCGTAACTCCTGATGGGTATACCTTTGTTTCTGTTTTATCAGCTTGCTCTCACTTGGGTGATCTAGAGTTTGGGAAGTGGATTCACTACTTGATCGAAGATTTCTCTCAACTTGGAGTTATTGCTGCAACTGCCCTCATTGAAATGTATGCAAAATGTGGAGACATTAACAGAGCATTTATCCTTTTCATTAAAATTGGAATAAAGGATGTGTTTTGTTGGAACGTTATGTTAAAGTCACTTGCCCTCCATGGAAAGTCTCATGATGCTATTAAATTATTCTCACTGATGCAAAAAGAAGGCCTGAAGCCAAATGACTTCACCTTCCTTGGAGCTCTGTTTGCCTGCAGCCACGGAGGGATGGTGGAAGAAGGCCAATCAATATTTGATAATATGGAGAAGGAATGTGGGATTAGCCCGACAATCGAACATTTTGGTTGCGTTATTGATTTGCTCAGTCGAAACGGTCGACTGGAGGAAGCGCTGCAGCTAGTAGACAAGATGCCGTTTGAGCCTGATGTTGCAATATGGGGAGCTTTGCTGGGTGGTTGCAAGTTAAGAAGTGATTTCAAGAGAGCAGGAGAAATCGTTGAGAGGGCGAGCAAATTGAGATCAAATGAAGGTGGAATCCATGCGAGCTTGTCGAATATGTATGCATCAATTGAGCACTGGCCAGAGGCTCTAATTGCGAGGGAAAAGATGGAAGAGGAGAATATATTGAAGAAGACTGGCCAGAGTAGCGTGATTTATGCACCCTGTTGAAGCTCAATGTTCACCACAGAGGACAAAGACTAATATGGTGGCGAGGAATTTTCATTAAATTTTGGTGGAAGGACAAAGAGCATCGGATACAAGAAATTGAACCAAATCCAACCGATCTGGGTTTGGCATTGGTCCTAACTGGTTGGTCACCATCGCTTGAGTGGTTCAATTTTGGCCAGTTTGTTTGAAAACCAAACCGAACCAGATCAACTTAACAGAAATGTTCTATGTTAATTTCTTGTTACGTTGAGAAAACGAAAAAGTTGATGGGCCAATTTTATTTAATCATATATTGATATATAATAAACAATAAAATCTATAATTCTGTTTTATAAAAATTCAATTTTTATTTCTCTCCGCCTAATTGGCATATACCTTCAACCAAGAGGTTGTGAATTCGAATCCCCTCCCCGCTAAAAAAAAATGGCAAGGATTATTTTATTCATACTAGTTTAGAAGTTTCAGGTTCGAACTTCTGATGAGTTTAATACCAAAAATTTAGGGATGGCAATGGGACAGGATTGGGGATCATCCCCATCTTCGCTCCGTTGGAAATTTTTCCCTCATCCCTAAGATTTTGAAGACGGGGACTAGACAGAAATTCTCCGATTGAGGATGGGTTCCCAGGGGAACGGACATATATATATATTTTAGAAATATTGTATAATATTTCAATTATTTAAAAAATATAAATTTCTTCTGTAAAATTCAATTAAAGACAATTATAAGTATTTATTAAAATCAATATGATTATATATAAAAATATAAAATATTAAATGGGGCGGGAGACCTCCTCTCATCCCCATCCCGTGTCCGTCGAAGACCCCGATTAGGATCTTGGTTTGACTCTGTTCTTGGTCAAATCGAGAATTTTCCACCCGGGTTGGGTATCTGGGTGAATCGGATCTGCGGATTTTTTTGTCTATCTACAAAAATCATTGATATCTCCCAAGTTCGAGTTTTAGAGTGCAGTGGGATAAAAGCTCATACTTCCGGTTATAAAAAAAAATTAAATTTTATTTATAAAAATTTTGATCTTTTATCAAATTTTTTTTTTACCCCATTTTGCATTACGAGGAGACACCAAATAAATAAAATTGCATCTCACTCTCTCTTGTTCAAGCCTCGGGGAGGTTGTGGCTTCTGAGTTCTGCTTTTGCCTGCCACTTCCAAATGATTTTTAAAATAAAACGAACAACTCGTATATACCTCAAAAGCATTCTCAGAACTCCCGATTCTGGAGTTGACGCAACGAAAAAGCGCGCCAAAGCTGTGATTGTGACCTCTGTGTCCGTATGACTGTATCTATATATGTATATCTTAGATGAATTTTTGCAGTGCAGGTGTCATGGGGAAGCAGAAGCAACAGGTGATTTCTCGATTCTTTGCGCCAAAACCCAAGTCCCCATCCTCTTCCTCTTCATCGCCGCCGTCAATTCCGGCTCCTCAACCGTTTTCACCCCCAAAGATATCGGCAACAGTCACTTTCTCTCCTTCCAAACGCCTCCTCTCTTCTGCACTCGCCTCCCAATCGACACCACCCAAATCCTCAAAACGCCCAAAACTCTCCCCCCATACCCAAAACCCTGTTTCTCCCCTGCCCAATCCCTCACTTCACAAAAGATTCCTCCAGAAGTTCCTCGAACCCACCGAAAATACTCTACAACCTTCTAATCCAAACCCCAAACCACCGCCGGGGGGTGATCCCAAATACACCCCTTTGGAGCTACAAGTTGTGGAACTGAAAAAGAGACACCCTGATGTTCTTTTGATGGTAGAAGTTGGTTACAGGTACAGATTCTTCGGGGAAGATGCCGAAATAGCGGCTAAAGTGTTGGGTATTTATGCCCACTTAGATCATAATTTCATGACTGCGAGTATACCAACGTTTAGGTTGAATGTACATGTGAGGAGGCTGGTGAGCGCAGGGTATAAGGTGGGTGTAGTGAAGCAAACCGAAACTGCTGCAATTAAGGCGCACGGATCGAACAAATTAGGCCCCTTTTGCAGAGGATTGTCGGCATTGTATACTAAGGCAACACTTGAGGCGGCCCAGAATTTAGGGGGAGGTGAAGAGGGGTGTGGGGGAGAGAGTAACTACTTGTTCTGTGTGGTTGAAAAGGGTATGTTGGTGGAAAATTTGGACTGTAGAATAGAAAATGGGGTTGATGTGAAAATTGGGATGGTTGGAATTGAGATATCAACTGGGGATGTTATTTATGAGGAATATAGTGATAACTTTATGAGAAGTGGGCTTGAATCAATGCTTTTGAGCTTGTCTCCTGCTGAGTTACTTGTTGGGGATCCCATATCAAAGCTAACAGAGAAGGTATACTTTAGAGTTACAATGTAATGTTGTGTCAAGGAAGAAATGTGAAAAGCTATACAATCTTCCTTCCTTTTCCCCTGTTTTACACTAACTTTTGGTAATTGTACGCTTTCTTTTTTCTTTTTTCTTTTTTTGTTTCCTGCCTTGCTAATTTTGGATACAGTTGGAAGCCTTTCTTTTATGGCACCAATGAACTTTGTTGCTGTATCAATTTATAATTTTCCCAATAACTTCAGGCATTCTGTCTAATTGTATCCTTGGATTAGGAATAGCAATATATGGGTACATGAGAGAGTTTGTTCATCCATACTACAACATCTGGAACTGGCTAAGACCTTGCCTTTTCCTCATGTTATTTAAAAGGTTTCCTTCAAGTTTCTCATTACGAAGAATGCTTTATGATGTTGATTTGCTTGATATGTAGTTCTATTTTTTTCCCTTTCCTTGGTTGTTGATTATGTTCCTTAATATACTGCAGCTTACCATAATTGTTAATAGGGATTGTTTGTGACTAGTTATTACTAGGTTATGCTGGACCTGCCTCAAATGTTCGTGTGGAGCATGTTTCACGAGATTGCTTCAAAGATGGCAGTGCACTAGCTGAAGTGATGTCTTTATATGAAAACATTTCCCAAGATAACTTAGCAGATCATCACAACCCGGATACAGGATTTATTGAACAAAAGACTGATCACTTGGCTATTAAGGTACAGGTTATTATGGATTTTTCTCCAAATGGAATAGAGGTCCTAACTATGTATTTGAATAAGAATTGCATTTTCTGCTTTCTGTGGGGCTGTTACAGGATCTTATTGTAGTTTTTTGCATCCTAACCTAACTCACTTTATCTTCTCGAAAAAAAGTATTAAATATTTTTAGACCATGTGTTGTAATAACTATTTTTCTATTCATCCCATTTATTAAAAGATATTTTTATGACTTAATACTTCATTTTATTTCTTTTTTGATGTTTCTCATTCTATTAGTACGCATTTTCTTCCTCTGAGACTTTTTTATGTTGGAATTGAAGGAAATAATGAACTTGCCAGATTTAGCTCTTCAAGCATTGGCCTTGACCATTCGTCATTTAAAGCAATTTGGTTTAGAAAGAATTGTGTCGTTGGGGTCTTCTTTCAGGCCATTCTCATGCAAAGTGGAAATGTCTCTTTCAGGCAATACACTTAAACAACTTGAGGTAATTTCCTCTGTAAATGAACTATACTAAGAAGATCTCTTCATGGAAATTTATCATAGCCAAAGTATTTTGATCTTTTGAACTGCTTTTTTTCCCTCTCTTTTGTTAAATTTGTTGTGTGGCATATCATTAGAGTAATGATCTACCCTTCAATACTAGAGGATTATATTTATTTGCCTTTGGAACTGCTTGATTTGTTTTTCTTACTGTAGAAATATGTCCTATGTTTTAGGTTCTGAAGAATAATGATGATGGTTCTGAAACTGGCTCCTTACTACAGTCCATGAATCATACTCTTACTATATTCGGTTCAAGGCTTTTTCGGCAATGGGTACATATCATATTATGTTGTCTTTCGTGCTGTAAGGTTTTTCATATTTCCACTTCTAATATTTCCAATTTATGGAACAGATAACACATCCTTTATGTGATAGAGACATGATAATTGCTCGTCAAGAGGCCGTCTCTGAAATTGCTGCTTCTATGGCATCTTCAAAAGTATCACAAAACATCATAGAGTTAGATGAAGCAGATTCTGATGTGATGGTCATTGAACCAGAATTGAATTATGTACTTTCTTCAGTGTTAACAACTTTGGGAAGGACACCAGATATTCAGCGAGGTATAACAAGAATCTTTCACCGAACTGCAACCCCATCAGAGGTACCAAGAGTTACTTTCATCTTTGTAGTGTTAGAAGTAGGATGTATTTCCTTTAAAACTACTAACATTTTTTTAAATTTTTTTTGTAACTGTTCTCATATTTTGCCTTCTCTATGAGGATGAAGGTTTCCATATTTCAGTCTATTAAAGTGGCCTGAGTTTTCTATTTACCATAACTGCACTGTTCAAGTTGGTTAAATGTACATGACCTGGAGACATGTTTTAGTGGATTTTTTACATTTATTATTCAATTCCTATTGATTTTTCTTCTTATATTTAGCACAATGACAGTTTCCCAATGATGTGTGATACAGTTCATCGCAGTTGTTCAAGCTGTTTTATTTGCTGGAAAACAGCTTCAGAAGTTTAACATCGATGAAGAGGATGACAATTATTCCAGTGCAAGTATGATTGGATCCAAGCTCCTAAGAAAGCTGATTTTATCTGCCTCTTCCTCTGGTTTAATTAACACTGGTGCAAAACTTTTGTCAACGATCAGCAAAGAAGCTGCAGATCAAGGGGACCTACCAAACCTTATGATCATTAATAATAATGACCAATTTCCCAAGGTATATACTTGTTCTATACAAAATGTTTCATTCTCTACAGTCATTTTCTCTTTTATATTCTTAGTATAATCTTTTTTAGGTTGGTAGAGCTCGAAAGGAGGTTCAATCTGTGAGAGAGAAATTGGATTCTCTGATCACCTTATACCGCAAGCAGCTTGGAATGCGGAAGTTGGAGTTTGTTAGCGTTTTGGGAACTACGCATTTGATTGAGGTCATTGAATTCAAACTAATTTGTAAATAAAAAAAATTGGGATTGGTAGGGATGCTTGAAATTATTTTTGTTGATGCCCTATTCTTAATTTCTTTTGGTACAGTTGGCCTCAGATGTGAAGGTACCTTCAAATTGGGTTAAGGTCAATAGTACCAAGAAAACCATAAGGTATCACCCACCTGCAGTGTTGAGTGCATTAGACGAGCTATCCCTGGTGAATGAGGAGCTCATGGTGGCATCTCGTGATGCTTGGGATGTCTTTCTAAGCGGGTTCAGTAGCTATTATGCAGAGTTTCAAGCTGCTGTTCAAGCGTTGGCTTCCATAGACTGTCTGTATTCGTTGGCAATTCTCTCAAGAAATATGGTAAGATTTTCATGTAGACCATCTTCCTCAATATTCATAACATGATGTTGAACCTCTTAACTTTAAATTCGTACAGAATTATGTTCGTCCAGAGTTTGTGCATGACGATGAACCTGGTCAGATATTTATCCGTTCTGGACGCCATCCGGTATGGTTTTTTGCTCATCTCTGTCAAAATTCATCGCGTTCTTCATATGCATATACATGATGTCTTTCCTCTTCCACGACCGCACACAATTATTTGGGGAATTGTTTTTCTTCTCTCCATTGAAAAGGGTGCTTTTTTTCAATCTGTGAATGTCGAAGCAGGTTTTGGAGAGTACATTAGGAGGGAATTTTGTGCCGAACGACACAAATATGAATGTGAATGGAGAGCATTGTGAAATAGTTACAGGACCAAACATGGGAGGGAAAAGTTGCTACATTCGACAAGTGGCTCTCATTGCTCTGATGGCTCAGGTAAATCAAACCAAATTGTCTCATTGCTGTTTTAACTAGCTCTTGCAGACAGTACCTGCGCTTGCGCTTCATTGTTACATTTGTCTGATCCATTGATTACAAATTTTAAATTTCTTTTTGCAACTGGCGCTTCCACTTCCTCGTAATGTATACTCTTTTAGGTTGGTTCCTTCGTACCAGCATTGTCTGCAAAACTCCGCGTCCTTGATGCTATATACACTCGAATGGGTGCTTCTGACACTATTCAACTTGGAAGAAGCACCTTCCTAGAAGAAATGACCGAAACTTCACACATACTTCAACATTCCACCTCACGTTCCCTGGTTATAATCGACGAGCTTGGTAGAGGTACTAGTACCCACGACGGCCTTGCCATTGCTTATGCCGCGTTGCATAATCTGCTTAAATACAAAAAATGTTTGCTCCTATTTGTCACACACTATCCCAAAGTTGCTGATATTGTGAAGGAATTTCCACGATCTGTGGGGGTATACCATGTCTCCTACCTTACTTCACACCAAAATCCAACTTTATCGCCCCTAAAATCTGATCACCAAGATGTTACTTATTTGTATAAACTGGTTCCTGGTGTTGCGGAAAGCAGTTTCGGCTTCAAGGTTGCCCAACTTGCACAGGTAACTGTAATATAAATAATTAACTCTTTTTACTTATTGTGACCCTGACTTATTCATTTTTTTGGGTTGGTTATGGCTTTTAGATACCTTTATCATGCATTGAACGGGCTACAAAAATGGGGGTCTGCTTACAAGCATTAGAAACCAGAAGAGCACAACGAAAGTCCAAAGAAGAGCAGCCTTCGCAAGAAACATCAGGCAAGAGGTTGGAATTCTTTCTTCGAGATGCCGGTGAGTCAGAAGATGCGTATGAGGAATTCTTTCTGTCCTTGAAAGCTTTAATATGTGCCGCTGATGATATTGAACAAAGTTGCCAACAATTGAACCGAGCTAGAAGCATGGCCATGGACTTGTTAGGAAGGTAAAGAAGCACTATTTTTATCTGAATTACTTCTGTTTTTTACTACTCTACCCTGCTTTTATTTCTCTTCTTTTATTGCTACAAATGACAGGTGAGAGAAATCATTCATTGTCGGGTGGATAATCAATGAGTTTTTTTGTTGAGTAGTAACAGGCTTGACTAGGACAGCACCTTGAATCTATGTACTTGATTTGTCTTTACTCTGTAAGATGACTGGGGGCATTTTGTATAGAAATCCCGGTGCTTCTTTTGGAGATAGCTGTGTGAAAAGGCCATTTTGTACTTATTTTGTATAGGAAGTTGCATTCTTAAGGAAAAGGGGAGGGACTTTGCAAATTTCATTCATTAATGAAGGCCAGATTCTGGATCATATTCCTTCTGTAATGTTCCGACTCGTCTTGCAATATACATAATCTACACTAATGGCCAACCAGAGGATGTCATTTACTCCTCAAAGAAACAAGGAATGCTCTCAATTCTCTCGCCTTCCTCTCATGTTCAGGTGACCGATCACTCTCTGCATCGCTCAAATCAATTACATCAATCTTCTCACTGTTTTCCTGTTGAAATTTTGAAACTTTGCTGGTTTGAATTGCAGGTGAAGGGCTTAAGAGATCAATGACCTCAATCCTCTCTGTGCTACGAGTACGATCAATGATGGTTGGTTCAACATCAAGAAAATCCTCTTGGTTCATTTCATCAACACCAGTAGCAGAAGTACTGCTCTCCGAAACTATTGGAGTATGGGAGAGGGAGAGGCTATGAACTGCCCTGCTTTCGGATTCGATCTGAAGCAAGAGAGTTTGGAGTCTTTTGTCAATTTCAGCCACAGCAGCCTCTGACTTCTTTGTTTTAGTTTTGCGCCTATTTTGTTTCATCCCTTGAGCTTTTTGCTCTTCAAATTCTACAATCATCTCGGGACAGGCACTGTAGAACATATTTTAAAAGGAAATAAAGCAGTCTTAGCAGTGTAAACATTTTAGTCTTCCATGACCAGAACAGGAGATTTCGATTCGTAGACGTCAAAGTATCCAAATCATCAGTTGTTATAGAAGAAACTGAGATACAAAAAACATGCAGTATGGTTTAAAATAACAGAATTATATCATGACACCCCATACCTCTGCAAGAGATCCGCTGGTACAATAGATGAATCAAGTCCATTTAAATCTTTCCAAGAGACCTCGAAGCAGTCGCTGCCCTGGACTTTTCTATGCTTGACAATTCCAGAAACAGGACAATTTGCTGGTATCTGTACTCAAGGCAACATAATGAAACAGATATAATATGACTGTCACTGAAGAACCAAGAATGTAACTACCTCTTGGAGTGGAATGTTGAACCCGAGTGCTGATGTGTTAGAACGAAGATTAGCAAATCGTCGTAGGTCTCTTTCCGCAATCTTTGGAAGAATGTACTCATCTGAACCACACAGATCACCCATATACGCTAAACATCAAAGGAACCAGAATTTTACCTACTTAGCTGCGACAATATAGGAAAAAAAGAACCTGTTTTCTCAGGAGGCCATGTAAAAAGCTCAGCACATATCTGCTGAAGTTTGATGCGTTGAAAAGGATGCTGAACAAGTACCCTGTAGATGAAGGAAATGTTGAGGCCATATGTGGTGAGCGGTTATTAGACAAAAAAAACTCTACTTTCATTACGGAAGATATATATATATATTCTTTTTTTTTGGATAAGAAACCCGTAAATTAAGCAAAAGAGGAATTATGGAAGATATATATATGCAGAAGAACAAAATTTGTAATATAGTTCCAAGGGTTCTACAAGCTCACCTAGTCACAGCATCAGAATCAGCCGAGTGGCATTTGGGTTTCAAATAGGCATCAATGACTTTCAAAAAGTGATCACATTTATGCAGACACTGTCCATCTCCTGTCATGTGCAATTGATTCACCTATTATATCAGAATATTACTAAAACTGCACCATATAAGTTCCTAAGCACACTAGTAATGGCTCAATTAGTAAAAAAGAACTGGCTGATTTTCAGTTTCCATCCTCCAAGGTTGAAATGCCCCAATCCCACATTTTCGTGTTTAAAAAAAAAGAGATGAAGTTCTAGAGTAGTAGTATAACCAGACTTAGAAAGTCCTTGCTTCTTGGAATTTTTCCCCTTCTTTGTGAAAGACAGTCCCTCAGATGCAATTTTTTGAAGGACAGCACCATCTCCTACAGCTTTAACAATCTGACAAGCAGATTCCTACAAAGGGCACAAAAACGCAACACAGTTACACGTTGCAGTCGGGTCGTACTTAGAAATAGAAATCCAACTTAGGAAAAAAGAATTAAGAATTGGAACCCACACGACCCAGGCCATAAACTCCTTGCGAGTAGTCACTGCCAAGAAGTAGGGCCAAAGTAACCTGGAAATCACAGAATGACTTGGTGATGATTGCATATTGACCATATGACAAGAAAATTCATCTTAGGAGTGAAACCTCCACCCTGCTAAATCATACATAGTTCGAAGCATAGAACAACAGAAAAAACAAGAAATTTACCATTGAGTTTCTTCCAAATCCCAGTTGTCTTTCAATGTCAGCCATTTCATAACAAACTACATGACCGCCGTCTCCTAGTTTAACAATAAACAATGAGCATATGAATAACAAGTGCATTGTTTAAAAACATAAACCAACTCAAGAGAAACTGAGCATGCTCTAGTACACTCACCAAGGCAGATATCCCTATACACTGTCCTAGCACCAAAAAGGAAAACATCTGAATCTGAAGTAAAACATCCATCCTGATCAGAAAAATGATGATTTAATAATAGTAATGATGTTCAAGACAACAGAGATGCAGAAACAATAAGCATTTGGAGCACTGAAAGATAGTAACTAAGCCTCTACTTACACATAATGATTCTGAATTTAGTAATGCACATTGTGCTTCAGCTTCCTCAATCCTAAATTCAAAAGAATATGTAAAAAAAAAAGTGCTCAGTTTGGAGACAGAAAACCACAAGACACCCAAACCTTTACTAAAATAATGTAAGTCTAGATTCTCATCAATTGTTTCGAAGCCCTTTTAAGTAGTATCATTAAGCCAAATACTTAACAAAAACTTAGGCTTTCGCCAACAGCACATGTAGTGATGAGACTTTTCTCACTTTTCCACAACTTAGATCATAAAAAAAATTTTAAGCAAAAAGGAATTTACCCATCTAGACAGGGGATACCAAGGGCCAGTCCTAAGGCTTTTGCCTCTTTTATCATTAAAGAAAACTCAGAACCCTTGTTCCTTTTCAGTGAGGGTATTTGCTGCGAATTTGCGTCATTTTGAGCAACCTGTCTTTGTTGCAGCTGTGGTAAGTATGATTCAAGTAAAAGTGGGGAAAACAAAAACGAATGTGGGTTATGAGAATTCCCACCTCACTTCCATTGTTCAAGCGGCGTCTATAAGTTGACAGTTTGATGCCAGGAATTGAACCATCTACAGGCAGCAAAATTAAATGACAGTTACGCAACTTTTCAAGTAATTACTCAGAAAATAAGGAACACCCATTAAGCGTTTTAACGAGAACCCAACACCTATTTTTCATTTGAAGATGAAAAGGAGCATGCCTGTAACGAAAATGATGCTGCAATTCAAGGCAATGAGAGCTCGAAGGCGGTGAAAGAGCCCTTGTAGGTAAATCTTCTTATGCAGACAAGAGTGCGATTTGCTTACATTTTGAAGCTGAACCATCCAACATGAGAGATCGATGCATAACCTCTTATTCCTGAACCCAAATTCAAAATAACAAAAACTCAGACTGGACGACTGAATGGCAGATACAACCCTCTGTTTGGTTGCCAAGAAAACGATGGAAAATGATGAAAGAAAGAACTTACTGAAGTCGGTGAAGTGGGAGAGTTTTTTTGCACGATTCTAAGATATCCCACAAGTTCTTTACTCCCATTTCTCCAGTGGGCGCGTAACAAACAGGTTTGCGGGTCCTTTCTTTCGACAAAATGAGAACTCTTTGTGTTTTTCTTTCAAAGTTTACTCTTTTTTTTTTATTCCCTTAAATTTTTAAAAAATGAATAATACTTTGAAATTTGAATAACCATTTTCCCTTCTCGTTTTCAGAGAAAAAAGAAATCGGGGGTTAATGTTCTAATTAATACGAAGTCTAATATCTACATCAAAATCGTGCATTTTCTTTCACTTTTTGACCAAAAAGGTTTCTACTTGGCAGATATCCAAACTGCCCGCGCTTTTTTTCAAATCTCAACCCACAAATTATTCCTCCGTTAGACTTATAAAGAATGATTAAACTAATTAAAAACTTCCTATTCCTAGGTACATTGAAACAGCACCTTTTCCTTTACTCTCCGCAGCGGTAGACGTTACCGGAACCTCTAGCGGTTTCAATCCCCTGCTTTACTCGTAGATAAGTTACCGTAGTCTTCCACTTTAAGCGGTGGTTATTTGAATCCAGCTGGGGCAAAAGAACAATTATACGATCTAGGGAAGTGGGTCGTAGAAAATGTGGAAGAATGGAGTTGTAGAGGATTATCCATGGTATCCGACACGTTTATATGCCTCGCAGGGTGCTTCTCAGAACACGTGGTGTGAAAGAATATTTTGTCGGGATCCCACATTTTTTTATCCGCTTCAAGGTATTTGACTCCAAAATCAGAATCTTCCCCACCCAGAAAGAGAGAGTTTCGTAGAGATTGGCCGGTGGGTTTCGCCGGAAAATCTGAGTTCCCGGCCAAATGATGAACCAGAATTCAGAAGACTGGCTACCACCGGGCTGGACTGTGAAGATCAAAGTAAGGAAGAGTGGCAAAAAAGATAAGGTATCACTCTTGTTTAACTTCTGATTCTATAATTTTTCAATTTATATTTTACAAATCATAGATCTCTAGCTGAGTTTGTCACTTTAATGTTTGCATTGCTGTTACAACAAGCTTGCTGAATTTGTGTATGATGAATGTTGTAATGGTGTGGATGTGTTTCTTTTTGGCTAGTTGGGAACTTGGACTTTTTTTATGGGTATTTCAGGGCTTTTGATGGGGAAGTTTGGGGTTTTTGTTTGGTTGTGTAAACAGTGGAAGGAAAGAAGATAGAGATTACTAATTTTTGCAGTGACTTTTGGGAGAAAGGAGTGGCCTTATTATTGTGTATGCTTGTGATATTACACTAATTAACCAAAAGCTTTCCTATAAATTTCTGATCTGAGTAAATGACTTACCTTCTTCTTGTTCTACCATAGACTAAGTCTACCCATCAGTTTAAAGCTTCTATTTTCATTTTGAGTAACCATTTTGATCCCTTCTTAGGCTCTTCTGTTTAGTCTGATGTGAAGCAGCAACCTGTACTATCATTAGCTTGACTGAAGCATCTTAATGCAACTTCCATTAATGACTTTAACAACATACCACAGTTCTTCCTATTATACTGTCTTCTAGTTATTTGATTTTGGTATTCAAATATTTATTTGTTAACTACAAATTCTACATGTCATTTTATTATCATGGGAAGATTATGGTGAAAAGTAAACTTGAATAAAGATCATATAAATGGATAGTAGCCAATTATGGTCGTTTTAAGATAAATAATTTGTGGATCTCTGTGACTGGTTCTAATGTTGCAGTATTATTTTGAACCCTCAAGTCAAATGAGATTTAATTCTAGGGCAGAGGTGTCTAGATATCTCAAAACTGCTGCAATCTATCATCCTGAATCTGAAGAGAGCAGAATCGTCGAGCAACCGGTGAACAATGTCTGTCGAAAAAATTTACCCCCTCCGCTCTATTTTTTGTTTTGAACTTTCTGGTCCTTTATATTATGCACTTTATTGATTTTTCTTAAAAATTTCTACTATTCAAGCAATCTAGGTGGAAGTTAAGAAGGCTATAGCAGAAGAGTTACCTCCAGGATGGATCAGAGAAATCAGAGTAACAAGGATTGCTAACAGGATAAGAAGAGATTCAGTAATTGATCATTTATTTCCTTTACGTAATTTATATTCGTTTGTGTCGTTTGCACTTTGGATATGCTCTCTAACCATAATTTGTCTTTTTTATATATTTAGTGCCCTACAGATTGTGAGTCAGTGACTTACTCTGGCAACAAGAAAATTTACGAATAACTTTTGTTTGCAGTTTTACATTGATCCTGTAACTGGCAATGCACTTCGCTCGATAAGGGATGTACACCGGTATCTAACAACTGGAAAAGTGAGCCGGTTAGCATATAAATCAAGGAACCAAAGAAACAGCGAACTTGAGTTTCAAAATGATGATATCTCTGTAAGTGCTCTCAAGGTACTGCTAGTTTATTTTACTTTGTGGTGGATTTCTTCATGCTAATGATTCAATTAAAGATCTCCTTTGTGTTGACGGCTGAAATTTGGGTGAATTCATCTTATCAAAAATGTGTAGATGAACTTTGTAAATTGATGAAACTTACAAATACCTAGCTACTTGTAAAGCTGAAATTTCAAATACTATTACACTTGTGCAAAGTCTTTCTGTAGATCATCAGAGGATTAGCGTGTAGACTTGAGATTTTTAAGGTTTCTGAAACAATTTGGATACTTGCTTGCACCCCTAAACATGATAAAAACTTTTGATTTCATTCTAAACTATTATGTTCTAAACATTCCTGTTTCTGAAGTATTTTAAACCATAATGCAAGAACAACTCTGTTTCAACTTAGGTTTGGATTGCTTAAGGATTATTTTGACCTATCACTAAATTTTTGTTATTTCGGCTCGCTCTTAGTCACCTGCTGTCTCCAAGAAAGAGATGCTAACGATTGGCAAAGCAAGGAGACAGATTGTATGGAGTCAGAACTCATCAGAACCCAGTGAAATAATAAATGATGAAGCTTTTTTTCAAAATTCTGTGGGTGTCAGAGAAAGCATGCCCCTTTCAGAACCTACTTCTGGTTCTGGTCATGATCATGGTATAGTTCCGAACATGCAACTTTAGTATAACAAATTTGATCTGATAGACACCCTGTTTTCTAAATTTTCACTTTCTCCTTTCTCCAACATTTTTATGTCTTTTTAAGTAGGGGTTTTGTTTAGAGTGGCAGTTCATACTTCATACTCCAACTTATTGAAGAATGAATGAAAAGATTCTAATTGGTGCTTTAGAAAATTGTTCAGAGTAGATTGATTGCATTTTCATAATCCGTTAAAGTATGTGGTTTTAGTGAATGTTGCAGGGGGGATAGGGACTAAATTGCACAACCCAACTCTAGCAGAGGCAAAAGATCCTGAGCAATCAAAGGAAAAGAATGATTTTTCTGAAGTTGTGTCGACTCCAGTTAAATCCATCCCGCACAAACTTGCTATTGAAAATGAGCCAACAAAGAATGAAATTAAAAAGAGACAGAGGAAAAGTAAAGACATGAACTTGCCTCGCCGAGCTTCAAAACGACTTGCAGGGCTCGAAGCTGATCCCGTGCTTGAAGTAAAAGCAGGTCGCCGAGCACGTCCTCTTGCATCTGAAGAGTCTGATACACAAGTATCCAGTTCAACTAAGTGGGCATCTCAATGCTCTGAGAACCCAGACGTCAAGCATGAAACAAAGAGCATAATTGACCGTCGTAAAAGTACCGACACAAATCCAGATTCAAGTAGAAAGGAAGATTCTGATGTAAAACAAAGCCCTCTCCTTCAGCTGTCTGTTGAGGACGTTAAGAAGGTAAAATCTGAGGATGCATATGAAGATAAGGCTGACGTAAAACAAGGCCCTCTCCTTAAGCTGCCTGTGGAGGACTTATTGACTGATCCTTGCATTGCATTTGCAGTTAAAACTCTCACTGGGGGTGTTTTTGATGCATCCATAAGCTCAGAAGCATTACTGGTTCCAAACAATATCGATCGTCCTTCCACTGTCTACGCCGCTCCAAATGAGAAAAGAACTGTAGAACCAGAAAGTAAGCTTGCTGAGAAGTTGCCGTCTCCAGAACTTCCTGTTGATAATGTTGTCAAGAAGCTAGAATCGACTCTGGAGTTGCCTGTTGGGGAAATACTGGCAGACCCTTGTATAGAATTTGCGATTAAAACTCTTACCGGCGAAATCCCACTGGACAACAATCTAGATATTGAGGATTACTTTCACCAACTTGGCTCCTCAAAAGCCCAAGGAACCAGTGCAAACGTCTCGAAACATGTTGGTTCGGATCACTTCTATTCAAATGTTCTTAGCCAGAAGCAGCAGCCTATTCTAGCTCTTGCAGCATCTCCAAGTATTAACTTCCGAAGCTGTGGAACTGGTTTGCTCGGACAAGAAAGGAACAGAAACAACGAGTTCCAAAGGCGCTAATACTAACTTCATATCCTGTACAGTTTTGGTTGACTACTTAGAAAACAAACTTTTCCATTTTTCTGTTTTGCTAGTTTTGTTAGTTTTTGTCAGCCAACCTCTTTTGACCAAGTTTTGCTCACCTTACCTCCTGGGCAATATGATGTGCTATGTGATGCCTTAAAACAGGACTTGATTTTGATTTTAATCTGCTGTCCAGTGTTGTTCATCTGTTTTTGTTGTTAAATCGGGAATGGATATTTGATTCGAATTTAAATTTAAAGTTCATAAAGATCAAGTATGATCAAGTAGCTCAAGTACAGGTCGGCCGATTTTTTCAATTTTCCTATCAATACAAACACTAACACAAATACTGCAACACTGATGTCAATTTGATATGTTACAGCTTCTAAGAACTGAAGGAGACTAAATTCAGATCACTTGTATGAAACATGGTTGGCTAAGATTGTCTACGAAAATATTCCCATGTTCAAACACGTATAATTCTGTACGTTTGTGGTTGGGAATTCTAATGCTCAACCAATTAGCCCTTGGATCAAGAGTTTCTTTACATTGTGCAATAAAGCTAGACAACAGGAAGCCAGATTTGTGTGGGTACTCTCATAGAGGAGGATGTAATATGAATTAAGGGCCCCTAACACCTGTCAATGAGAGAAACGTTCAAGATAAGTACCAGAGAAGGTCAAGTGGGTAATACAAAATGTTGAGCTTGATTTTCTAAGTTCATTCTATGCAGTAGAAAATGGAAGGCAGGCTAAAGAAATCAGAAGCAAATCAACTTTCCAACAGTCAAGAAGATGCAATCAGCTGGCATTGGGGGAAAAATCTAGCTTTAAATCATGAAGGATCCAATATGGAACCTGGTCTATTTACAAGTTTATGGAAGAAATATAGACCAAGTAAGGTTGTTTCATATTCTGATCTAAGCAGAACCGGGACCAGCCACACCTGCTCGAGCTCTCAACATTTCGGTTCTCTTGCTTCTTTCCATTATATCCACCAACCATTCAACACCTTCCTTTATGCCCATCCTGAAATCAAAAAAAAGAATGAAGAGTTTCAAAACCACCCCATCTGTTTGCAAATTATTTATAATTAAAAGATAAAAGAATAAAAACCCAATTTTCAAGTTCATGAGATAGACCACATACGTACCCATCGTAGCCAGAAACAGCTTCAAACATGTAGACCCTTTCATCCAATTTTTTTAAGTCGAGATAACGAGAAAGTTCTTCAGCTGATACTGCCTCTGGAAGATCCTGCATCCAAACGTTCAATAATGTGACAGCTTGAAATCAAATTTAAAGTACGGTGAAAAATTCAAAATACCACATGAACTTTAAACAATACGACTTAATTCAGATAATCCTTCAAATAACTGAATAAAGGGTTCAATTAATGTTAGAATCATTCACCATTTTGCAGCAGAGTTCATACTTTTATATTCTATATATTTTTCCTTTTACAGGGAAGAGAAGTACATAAAAGGAAATGTAAAAGAGTCAACAGATCCCAGTTCTGACCTGCTTGTTTGCTAAAACCAAAAGTGGAGCTCCTTGCAAATCCTCATGTCGAAGAACTTTCTCTGGAGAGGAAATTCAAAACAATATCATCAATTCATCATTCGTATTCTAGTTCTATCTCGTTTTGGCAAATTATGCAGCAGTAAAACCCGTTGATACCAACGTATTTAAGATATGGTCATCCCATGCCATCACCTACCCAGTGCAGATTTGGCATCTTCAAATTTTGATGGACAAGCAGCATCAATTACATAGATCACAGCATGTGCCTCTTCATAATATTTTTCCCAAATAGAACGAAGGCCAGGCTGTGATAGGAAACAAAAGAACTAGGATAAATAACATATTGAGATTCCCCTTTCCAAACACCATAAATATGAAAGAGAGAGAGAGAGAGACCAAGGTTCTGCAGAAGTCAAGCAAAAACTCTAGGATTTTAGATAATGTGAATCGCATAAAAAGACCTAGCACTAAAAGAGTCTGGCAAGCGACAACTGAAATATCACTACAATATATGGGATTTACTGTTTACAGCATGCTTCGCAAGATGGGTTCAGCTAAAGTAGAAACATTTATACAGTGAATTTAAAGATTTAATATAACAAAACCATTGCTCACTGCATATCCCTACCTGACCTCCCAGATCCCAGAAGACAAGTTTTGCATTCAACACCTCGAGGCGCCCAATATTGAGTCCAACAGTTGGAACAATTCGATCTGGGGAGAGGCCTTCCAGGTTTGAGTATAAGGACTTCAACTTCTCAAGCAAAGTCTATGTCATTTTTGTAGAACAAAGTTATAAGCGAATGGAAAGAAGTAAGTCTAGGAAGGTCCGAATAACATAGGTGGAAAATTTGAAGTAAAAATGCTCAATCAGTCAAGATGGAAGGGTTTTACCGTTTTCCCCGCCTTGTCGATTCCTAAGATGAGAACATGAAACTCTGTCTTACTAAAGATGTACTTCCAGAGGCCATAAAATAAAGAGAACATCGTGCCTTATCAGTTTACTCAGGTATTAATTTCTCTTTAACCCTTGGGGTCAAACTTCATAACTTCTAGCTCTCCTTTGGCTTATTTATTCTGCAACTCCAGAAACAGGATAGAGATGACTTCCTTGGATAGCAAAGTATGAATCATGAGATATTTCCACCTAAAAATAGTTTTGCATTGTTAATTGGCCCTTCACACCTCTAAACTTATTGTTCTAGAAAGAAATAGGGATACATTGCAGACAAACAATTAAATATAATAGAATCGACAAATTATATAAAATATCTATTCGGCATACCTCACCTTATTAACGAGAATTGTTTTAATTTAACTATTAGAACAATAACAATAAGCAATTTTATTTCAACCTCGAAATTACTTTTCATTGACAATGACATATAGGAAGTTCAATTAAGCTTCAAAAGTCGGGAATAAAATCATATAATAAATTATGCTTCAACAAACTCATGAAGGATTTCACTTCAGAACAAGTATCAACTCTATTAATCATCAACCTGTTCCATAACTAGAATCCAAATCATAATGGGTATTTATTTTAACACTTTCAGCCTCGTTTCCTGTCCCTTCGATATCTTCAAACCATCGATTTTCCACAATATTTTCTCAAAATTTAAGTTTGGTTCCAAGAGAATTTAAAGTCAATATCAAATTTAGAAAATTTAAAGTAAATATGCCAAAGGTTTTGCAAAGTCAATGGAAGTTAAGATAATAAACAGCATTCCATTCTGCTTAAAAAGTACTGGATTCCAAAAGCAACTACCATTGAAATATTATGACAAGAAGAAAATACAATCACAGACTCACTAACACCACTTCCAAAATTTAATGCAGAACACTCTTGTTCATTAACTTCATACTTGTACAACAAATCAAAGAAGGGTTCTTCTTTAAACTGTTCCATAAAATCGCATCTACAAGCCCGATAAATCTTCGGATCCACGTGCTGTAAGCAAGATTATCAAGGACCGTATCCCAAATGGCGAACCATATGCACCATTTAGGGAGGAAATGAGGAACAAAAGGCACACAGTAAGAATCGAATCAACTTCATGCGAGATTTTTGGTTACCCAAATTGTAATAGCGTCCCAGACAGTCGATATGAAACACATGATAATTTCATGGTGAAAGAAAGATGGAAATGGGAAGGTGCCCAGATGATTTTCGATGATCGAAAGCGTGACCATGGCAGTAAATGAATCAGATCAGGCAATTTGATGAAAATTTAATTCAAACCCATTAAAAATTCGGATCCATAAAACAGACAGAAAGTCAGATTCATACTCTAGGAAAGAAGGGATTGCTGAAAAAGCTGCTGCTAGTGTTGGGCCTTCCTTCCAGTGCAGCAAATAAGAGCTCCCACCGCCTGAAAGTAACCGAAATTATGTATATCCTCCGATAATTATAGAACACCCTCCTAAAGGAGGCTCTGTCTCACTCTCAATTTCCCCCGATTGCCGCAATTGCAAAGCAATGTTCTCTCCTTCCAATCCCCGTATTGCCCTCTTCGTCCTTTTGATTCTTTTGGTTTTTAAAAACCTTTGGCCAAATCGCATAACCTATAATTCCTTCTTTCCAAATTATTTCCAATGTATGTAGTTTTTTATTTTAGGTCAACATATCTAAAATTAAACTTACTTAGGATAAATAAAGTGAATAGTGTCCAAGAGAGAGCTCATCTTAGATTAAAGATATGTAATATTCTTTGAGATAATGAGGTGATCAAAATAGCTAATCAAGTTCATCTTTATAGAACCAAAGCGAGTATACCTCAGCGGTAATTGATAAATACCTTCAACCAAGATGAATCCTCCTTCCCCTTACATGTTGTATTAAAAAAAAGTTTATCTTCATCGAGGTGGAAGACTCATTTTCAAAAATTAATGGCACCAAAATATTCTTTAATCTTTTCCTTCTTTAATATTTTCCTCAATTTTAGTAGCTCGCTCGAATTTCAACCAAAAAGAAGAAGCATAGATCTTCTTACAAATTTCATAAGATTAATCTGGTCGTGCGAATTAGTTTCAAGAATGAGAATTAGTTTCAAGAATGATAATTTCAATTGTTTGAATGTATTAAGATATTAATATTTTACAATTTTCTTTGATAAAGTAGAGTATTGTTTAACAAACGAAAATTAAATATTCTGCGAAATATCTTCATTCCGAGGACAAATTTGTCACTCTCGTAACTTCACTGCAGTCAAATAATAAGGGAACAATAGAGTTCAAACCACACGTGGCATGGTATCACAGGAGTACCCAAAACGATTGCACGAAGAGCACAACACAGACAACTAAAACCCCTTAATTTCGCTACTTAATAGAAGATCCGTTGAAATTCGAGTAACAGAGTCTCCGTCTTTGCTCTGAAATCTCATTTCCATGGCTTCCCAATCGCAGCCTTCTCTGGCCTCCAAAATATGCTCCGACATAGCTTCTATCTTCTCCAAAACCACGCACCCCCACGCGCCGCCCATGGACGTATTGGTATCCGAGCTTGCAGCCGCCGCGACCCGAAAGGCCCGGGTCTTCCTCTACGGCGTCGGCCGGGAGGGCCTAATGCTCAAAGCCCTATGCATGCGACTCGCTCATCTCGGCCTCTCATCGCACCAGGTTTTCGACATGAACGCGCCGCCAATCGCGGCTCAGGACCTCCTCATCGCATCCGCCGGCCCAGGCGGATTTTCGACCGTCGATGCGATTTGTTCCGTGGCGAAATCTAACGGCGGTAGGGTTCTGCTAGTGACGGCCCAGCCGGAGACCGGGTCGTCGGTGAAGCACGCGGATGTGATTTGTTACGTTCCGGCGCAGACCATGGCGGACGATGAGGAAGCGGCGGCGGCGGAGGGAGTGAAATCTCGGCGGCCTCTGCTTCCGATGGGAAGTTTGTATGAAGGGGCTCTGTTCGTGTTGTTTGAGATGGTGGTGTATCGGCTGGGTGAGGCGTTGGGAGAGACGCCAGAAGCCGTCCGATCACGCCACACCAATCTAGAATGAATGGACCAGATTAGCTTTGTTGGATTTTATTTATTTTTTCCCTTCTTTTGCTTAATTGAATTTTTTTTCTTTTTTTACCACATGTTGGGAGAGGATTTGGTATAAGCTATGTTGGTTTTGACTTGCTTAGTTGGATTGAAGGTACTTATTTTGTTTTTTAAACTTTAAATTAACATTTGTTTTATTTCTATTGAATATTACGTCATAAAATAAATGAACCTTTTGACTCTACCAATGCTAGTGGCATTGAAATAATATGTATGTATCTATATATATTAAATTTTACAACTCTTTTACAACTAAAGCATATTTAATTTTACAATTAATTTGTATACGTTCAAATTTTAATTTGGAAAAGATAAAATTATTTTGCTTCATTAAATATTGCAGGAGTTCTAGACAAATTTTAACAAATTTTAGGGATAGCATTACAACCTTAAAAAGTGGCTGTAGGTTGAAATATATAATAATTTTGATTTTCTTAATGTATTTTACATAATATTGAGTTTTACTTTGATATGAATTATGTTGTTTTTGTCCTTTTTTAAATGTTTTTTGAAAATACATATTTATTTTATGCTATTAAATAATTATTTCCATTTGATATATAGGAATAGAAGAATATGTTTTCCACGAATTTTTATTAGCAATTTACTATTCCTTCATATGATATCCCATATAAATATTTTTGGTTAACAAAATGTCTTATCATATCCATACGTGGGGGAGACAAGAAACTCACATAAAATAGAAGATATTTGTTAACTCCCATTTCCCATCTCGATCAGAAATGAAGACTCATCTCCTAATTAGTAAAGCCAAAAACAAGATAAATTGACTAAAAAAGAATTTTGGTCGTTGGTTTTTTTTAAAATTGAGATTGGATATTCAAATATTCTATATTTTTTTTAATATTTGCTTTGACCAATTGAACCATATTCAAATTGAAATGATAACTAAGAAAAAAAAACTATATGGTAAGTTTTTTAGTAGTGCGAAAATTATGACTTAAAGACACCTAGTGAAATTATGCGTAAGCCGGCACCAATATATTAAATTAACATGTTTTGATATTTAGTTGTCAACTTGTCATTAAATACTTGCTTTATATATTATCTTCTCTATAAATGCAAGAATCTATTGATGATGACTAAATTAGAATAGTTCTTTACGTCTATGTTTCAAATTTATCCCTCGATCCCACCCCATATCCACTTTTTCCAAAACAAAAAGTATACAGATAAGTTCAATTTTATCCTTAAGTTTAAAAGAGTTTCAAATTTAATTCGGATTAAATAACAAGTAATGATATAGTACTTTGACATTTTAAACAAAATAAATATGCATGAGTAAAAATCTACTCATCCTATTCAATTAACAAACTAAATTTGTCTTCATCCAAATAAAAAACAAGGTATTATCACATAAATCCTTAAATTCATTCTCATTAATCGCGACCCATGCAATATTCATTTATATGTCTTGCATGCAACTTACCTCTTAATTTATTTTCACAAATTTCTCTTTATTCATGAGGTTCTAAAATGAACCCTTCTCTAATTAAGCACGCTTTTATTTGATTTTAATAGTTAGAATGAATGCTTCTAATTTTATCAAAATAAGGTTAAAGATAGTACAAGATGATATTTAACATTTTTAAAAAAAGTAACTCCAAAAAATGACATACTTTTAAAATTCAAATTGTCATTTTGATTCATTTAATAGCACTTGATTGATACTAAAATTTCGAGAATGAAATTAAAAAAAAAAACTATATGAAAACGAGAACAAAAAAACAATCAACATCAACTCAAATCATTCATATATAATAATTACAGCTTAAATATCTAATATACATATTATTTTTGCCAACATGAGTTAGTAATTGGGGGAGAATTGGTGTTTATTTATTTGTTATTCTATAATAATAGAAAGTTTGGTAAGATTTTGAAGGCAAATAAAACATGGAAAAAGAAAAAGAAAAATAAGGGGAAATTGTCAGAATCCGCCAACTGGATAAATGGTCAGTGTCTGGGACAGGAAGAGAAGCTCAGATCTTTTTGTTTCTCTCCATTCATCTTCCAAAATATCTCCTCTCTCTTCAATTTTTTATCCATCCAGATATTTTCACAGCCCCTCCCCTCCCCCATCCTCCCCCACCTCCGCGACTACACTTTCCCCCTACTCGCCCCCTCCTCCCACCTTCCCCCACAATTATTATTCCCTTTTTTTTCTTTTTAACATCATATAATCCCATCGTAATTCGTACCTACAATATTTACTATCCTCCTAAAAAATTAATTAAATCTATTTTTATTTCAACATTATCAAATTAAATTTCATGCAAGTACTTACTAATTCAATAAGAGTCGACATTTCTCCAACACGTGGCAATTATAAAGATGCATAGTACAGTACAAAGAATTTTGGATTCATAGACATTTTGTTATTATTATTTTTATTTATTGAAGAATTACAAAAAGAAAATCACGTTTCTGTGTGTTTATTAGAGGGGGGACCTTATCACAAATACGTGTCTAGAGAAATAAAGCGAGTAGCCGAAACACGTGCGTGAATCTGTAGTCGCGTTTGGAGGGAGCCGGTGAAAAGGAGACGCCAGCCTATGGGCTTCTTCTCGTAGGCTCGCTATAAAAACCACGCAACGCAACCCGACGAATGGAATCGAAACTCATCTCCGAAAAGGCGCCGGAAAGTGGGGTTTCTTCTTTTAAATTCCGATCGTCTCCGCCGGCGATGGAGTCGCACGTGCAATTCAACGAAACGGGGTCGTGTTGGACCAATGAGAAGCACATGCACTTCTTGAATTCCATGGAAGCTTCCTTCGTCCGATCAATGTTCGAAAATCGCACCCACCGCCGCCGCCGTCTACGGCTGGACCGCCACCTGCCGGACACGTCAGACTCAACCCTAGATTCCCCTCAGAAGGACAGAAAAAACCACGCCACCTCCGGTGAGTTTAATGCCGATCCACGTTGAAACCAAATTCCCCTAAAAAAAACAAAACGAAAACGCTTCATTGGGGTTAATTAATTTAGAGGGTTTTTTTTTTTGTACGTGAAAGACATTATTTTTGTTTTAAAAAAAGACGTATTATAATTATTTTGGTTTTTGAATATTTGACTGGACGGAGAGGTTAAGAATACGATAAAAGCGAGAATAGTGAATATTCCGTGTGAAGATATTTATACGATTATATCACAATAAATCACTTTCCCTCCACTCCATAAAGATCATTAATATTCTTTCCTTTCTAGTTTCTTACATTTTCCTTTTTCTTTTTTTGTTATTATTTCCTTTTTATATAACTTTTGGCTGTGATCCAGGAGCTGCTACAATCGACGGTAGATCTAGCAGCAGATCAAGGACCAGATCATCTCTACCGCACACTTCAAATCAAGATCAGGTCAGTTAAGATTTAAGAAACTATATATAATATAACATTGCATTTCTTCCTTCTTTCTTTTTTCTCGACCAATAATGGAATTTATATTTTATAAATAGTTAGTATCACTCCTTAATTAATTACTAATATTAAGTCTTCACACTAAAGCTTAAAAGTGACAAAACATGATATAATTTAAATTTTATTTAAGGCATTTCTTCATATGAAACACTTTATTAATTTTAGATTAAAATATTAGTTTGCTACATGTAGTTTCAACTTTGGTTCATTTTGGTCTCTATACTTCTAAAATGTTTGTTTTGGTTTCTGTATTTTCAATTTTGATTCATTTTAGTCAAAATGTTCATTTTGGTTCCTATACTAACCATTTTGACCGATTAATTTTATTCTTAATCTCATTTTTTTCTATCACAATTTCAACATGACAATAAAATCAATATATTTCTTAAAATGTAAACATCATTTTATACTAAAACTTTATGTTATGTGTAAAATTTGTGTTAAAATTTTACAAAAAGGGATTAAAATGATCATTTTTTAAATACTAAAATGAACATTTTCAAAGTACAGACGACTAAGATGAATCAATGCTGGAAGTATAGGGACCAAAATAGTATTTTAACCTTCATTTTAAATCAAAACTTTGGTATCTTAAAATAATAATTAAAAAAATTAATAAGATAGAAGAAAAATATCTCCTTCAATATTAAAAAAGAAAAAGCTTATTAATATTATCCTATCACTACTTTAAAAATTATACATATATAACTTATAATTAATAAATAAAAGGTTATGCTTGTGTGATCTGACAGGTGGTCCCACAGATGGAAAAGAGAGCAGTCGAGGATGAAGATGAGAGAGACCATCCCATGTCACCTATCAACTGAGAAATATATTATTATATTTATTATTATTGTTATTTCTGCATTTTTTTTTCACTTTGCTTTTTTTTCAACTTAATTTTAATATTTATGTCTTTTCACCTTAGTTTGTTACATTTAAATTGATGATGGTGTGAAAAAAAAGATTTAGTTGAAATTGGTGAATTTGATTTGGGCGAAATGATAAACGTTTGGCTGCTTATGGTTAAATGTCACTCATTGTATGTGTTACTTTAATTTTAAATTCTTATTTATTTATTTTTTTTGACATTTTAGATGCAGACTTTTGTAGTTTTAGTTGCTAAATTTAGAATATTAATATCATATATTTTTGTTATTCCTTTTTTTGTTTTTTTTCCCCTCCTGTGATTGTACTTAGTTTACTTATGGTGACTAAATTATTGATATGTAGGGTTAGAATCGTCTATACGGTGATATGAAAAATCAAAAGATGGTTGAAAAGTATAAAGGGTATGTCCTTTTTTGTCTAATAAATCATGAATTTGCCTCATGCAATATTAAAAATTTAATTACGGTTGTTCAAAAAAAAATTCTAATTATGGCAGCTTGCCAAAGAAAAGGTAAATAGAAAAAAAAAATCGAGGTATTAATGATATAAGATCTACTCGATGTGATTAAAAAAAGTGTAGCCCCAAACAATTTGGTCGAGATAATTGCAAGCAATCAATCAAATAAAGTCTAAAGTGCAGTTAAAGAAAGACAGGATAGCTTTGGTTTTATTGTGTTTCTTTTTTCGAGGATTAATAGGAAAATTGACTCTCTAACATGATCATAGGTCAACAGTAAGCCATCTTGTTAATTCTCTATAGGTCAAAAGTTCAATTCTACATCTTTATAGTGTACTAGAAAAAGAAATAAAAAAAATTGAATCAATATCATGAGAATTATATTCTAATACCAATTCTCATATCTCCATTAGTCTTGATATATAGACAAAATAAATTTTGATTAATCGAAGAAATCTACATATGGTCAAAAGAAGGATATTTTATTCGGTATGGTGGGTTTGATTTTATTGTGGTTGTTCTTTCCTGTTTTGATTGGGTTGAATGGAAAATCATAAAAGAGGATCGTGTGGGGAATAAGGAAAGGGACTCATTCATGAATATCAAGTTTGTTGGCAAATCTTAATCCCAGTGATGGAGTTTGTTAATTAAATCCTTTAAACATAATTTTTTTGACCAATAATGTTTTATAGATATTTTTAACAGTAGCAAATATTTATACAAATTTTTAGTTCGGTAAATATACCAAAAACAAATTTCAAATTGAAATTTCATTTTCTTTGTTATCCTAATTTTACCAATAAGTGATATACAATATACCTAATATGAAATATATTAGTCACATTAAATATATGAATGTTATACTTCATATTAGATATAGCACTAATATTCGAGTGAAAATTTTTTGTTTAAATAATATGGTAGGTTTCTTATTAATATATCAAGTATATCAATGATATACTCCATCTTGGGTGTCAATACATTTGATATCATTAATATACTTGACATTATGTATATTAGTGATATGTAACCCGCCTATCGAATATAAAGTGTATAATTGAATATTAATATAAATGACATACTTGATAACTAAGCATATCAATGTGAGTGCCATCATCAAAATTCTTAATTCTTCTTTCTTTTTTTCTTTTCTAACTCTACTTTTTTTTTCCATATTTTGTAAATTAGAAAAGTAGAGATATTTATTTTTTGCTATATCTACCAAGGTACCAATGTTTTGTTGATAATTATTTAGTTAAAAGACTTTTAATGAATTGACATAAAAAAGAACTATATTCATTTTATCTAGGTTATTTAGGTGTTGTTTTTTAAATGAGGTACTAAATTCTTAAATGCTATAGGTTGGTCTAGAATAAGTGAAGAACTTTAAGAGTGTGTTTAAATCTCACGATGATCATCTATTTAGAGTATTTAAATTTTACGAATTTCATCTTTCTATTTATTGAGTAAAATACAAATTTTCTCTTTTTACTTATGGATGTAAAGTTAGAATTCCACGCTACATTTATGATGCTATATTTAAAAAAAGTTACAAAGGAAAGTTAGCATTTAAGATGTAAAATAATGATTAAAAGTATAAAGGGTCTTTTCATGGGGACATTTGGACAATTACAATATTGGTTTGTGGGGCATAATTGCTAATTATTTTTTTTCTATGGGCATTATTGATAACCCCTATATTTATAGGGGCACTTGCGAAAAAAATCCATAAAAATACTAGCACCCAATTAGGTGGACCTTGGGCCGACCCGATTCGAGTCCGTCGCCCAGCACCGCCGCAAGCAGCGAATGAAACCCAGCTCAGTACAACGAGCCCAATGCTCCACAAACGATGGAATGAAACCCAAATCCAATATTCGTTCGACGATCGACGACGAGGGAGTGACGGAATCTGCGAGATCTCAAGTTCGAAGGACCGCAGAAATCGCCTGGAACAAACAAGCTTGCGAACTTGATTCGAACGAAACCAGTTCCTTCACGCTATGGTGCTGCAAAATTTTTCAACATACGGGAATTTGCTTCTTCAGGTCGTACTGTCTCTCTCGCTTTCTGTTTTTCTCATCTTCTTCAGAATCCCAACCCTTTTCCTCCATGGCATATTTACTTATATTCACCCAGATAACGCCAGCAGTGGCGTCCGCGCCGCAATTAGAAGACCTGAAAATTCTGGCTCCGGTTCTGGACTAGATGGGTACCGAAACTTGTCCTCAAATACTGCTTCTGAGATCAGGAAAAGAACAAAGTCGAAGGACAAGGTTGAGTTTGACGAAAGCAAAGCGCAGATCTTCAGGTTAAAGCTGGATGAGAATCATCTGCAAACGCGGATCTATTTCAAAGAATACAGAGATGGTTTCACTTTTACGTTCGTGGGTATTTCTTGTTTACTACTGCAAAGTTTCTTGGGTGTATCTAAAAGTTCTGGGATTTGGGGAAATGGGATTTCCGTCCCTCTACTGTTTTCGATCTTCGCTGGATGTAAGCTGTTTATAACGCTCGCAAAGGTTGCTATGGAGAAATCTGCGTCAAGGACGTTGGATAGGCAATTGAGCTTACTGTTTGGAGTCTCTGGGCTTCTTTTTGGACTTCTAACTTGTTCTGCTCTTACCCCTCTAATATTGGATTTTAATCTTGGTGAGATTGGTGGTCCGGGGGCATGTTTCGTTGCTATCTTAATGGGCTGTTTTGCGGGGTTTTTGTTTATACCTGCAACAAAAATCGCTCGATCATTTTGGCTTGGAACCGATCAAATTAGATGCAATTTGGAAATGGTTTATTGTGGATGGTTCTCTCGGATGATTTTGTACGCAAGCCAAATGGCCATGGCTTTCACCACTTTGCTTTGGGTTAACCCATTAACTGAAATTTTCATTAACAAGAATATTGGCGAAAGTGCAAGTGAACATACGTTCAGTGAAATCCGAAATGCTGACAGATTGGTAGGAAATATGGGATTTTCAAAGCCGGATTTTGTTAAGCTCAGGCTTTGGTGTTTGTCACTGTCTGGTCTCTTGCAGATCATCGCTGTAAGGTCAAACTTACAAATGTTTCTAAACGAAGCTCTGTTATCGTGGTACCAAAGACTACATGCTGGGAAGGTTCCAGACTTGGATTTCAGTAGAGCAAAAGTTTTTCTGCACAATCACTACTTATGTGTGTCTGCCTTGCAGTTTTTTGCTCCACCAGCCTTAGTTTCACTTTTTGTTGGGTTATCTCAAATTGATGTCAACTCTTTGGAAAATACCCCTTTGGTAAGTTTTTTACTTCCCTGCTCTTCTTTTGTCAAACAAGTGCCTCTGTTAATGGCTTGGTGGACTGTCTCGCTAATGACTGTTTATACATCGGCCATCATTGTGCTATATCGTCGTGGCACGTTGTATATTTCTTGATGTGAAATATGTGTCTTTATTTTTTGCCCTCCGGAATTTGGTCCATTGAGTTCGGACTGCTGTAAGATTTTGAGTGAAATGAGAACAGCAATTTGGTTGTAGCCATGAAAATATCCATATTGTACTCTTGAACTTCCATGATTCATTTTATATAAACTAATGCTGATCGACGGATCAAATTTTACATGGGTTTTACTGTTACGGTGCCTAATTTGCCTTATGACTTCTCACTGTTTTCTTCAATCTTTGCCAGTTTGGCTATGGATTTCTCAGTCTTACGAATGAAGTGATATATTCCTGTCATATGATTTAAGTTGTGACGAATATTGACTTGGTACTTAGTTTTCTATTTGTGAACTAATAAGGCTTACCAAGATATGGTAGATTGACAGATTCTTTTTGAGGATTAGAAGGAAACATGTATTGTTAGGAGATGGATAAATTGGATGTGCTTTGGGTAATTTTTTCCCGTCATTTTTCTTAATGCGAAATATGAGACGGTGAAGAGAGGAGGCTTAGTTCTGATTTCCTTTTTGTGTTGGTGGGTGATGTCTGAAATCAGTTGTAGATTAAAGGTAGATTTCTGAGTAGGTATATTGGAGGGATTTAGTAGGAAGGGAGAACATTCATATAGCTTCTCTTTTAGCAATTTGTTGACGATGTCCTGTCCTATGAGTTTTGGGGGAAGTTGATATCTGCTATGTAAGGGTGAACGGAAGAGGGGGAGGTGAAGAGCGTTTGTTTCTTCATTAGTTGCAAGGTTTTGGTTTTCTGATGAATTGAGTAAAGAAAGAGAGTTGTGAGTAGGCCATATTTCGTGGGTCAGTGTAATTAAGTCTTTGACTCGGATAATAAGGATGGACAACAAGTCTTCGTGATGTGACGTGATGCCTAAGTTTCACTCTTCCTTCTTCTTTTTTCTCAATTCTACTCCTTTTATTATTAATTCTAATTGGTGGGTCTTTCTCCAGTTTCTTTTTGGTCGCGAGAGGTTTTTTCATTTCTCTACTTTTTTTTTTAACTTCGGCTACGTGTGGAGATGAGATTCGCTGACCTTTTGGTCGAGATTATAATGCTCATATTTCCAGAGAATTCA